ATGGCACGTTTAGAAGTCAGAAGGGGGCCATCTTAGCTTAGGACAGTGTTATGGGCTCATCCGTGTAAGAATTAGGAATTCCTCTTCCAACTCGTCCTGAAAGATAATGCACGCAGCATTTTCCAGACATACATTATAGGAAGGCACTAGCCCAGCTCAAAGCATTATATGTTCAATTATTGATCGGATTGCTGCTTTTCTCCTAGTAAACCAGACCATATTCATGAACAATAACTAGAAAATCTTCTACTTTGTATGACATGATATGGCCCACCACACCCAGAATTCTTTGTCCTAAAACTTACTCTTTCCATGGATTTACACAGAAAAGGAAAAGGAGACAAGTAAAGATTTACCAATGATGAGAGCTGGAAATCAAGCCAATCGACAAATTTGAGGACATCTTCTATGTCTGTATAAGCTGCAACAAGAACCTTGTCGATGAGGCCATTGATGAACTCTCCTTTGGTTTCAATGTCAGCTTTTATCTGTAAATTGATGATGAACACTATTAGCTATGGCTTAATTTTTCAATCAAAGCAACAAAAATCACCGCCTTACCGCTAAAAGATGCGCAGAACGATTCTGAATTTCCCCAACAATGCTATTGTGGGCATTGATCGCAGCTGGTTTCCCCAACAATGGAGGACCTCTCTTCCCTTCTTTCTTTTTTAAGGAGTGAAAGAGGCGTACGAGGTCTGGAGATTTCTGAGAGGCCACTGGTCGGGGCAAGGATTTCACGGGAAGAGGCGGCGGCGGCGGCGGCGGCGGCGGCGCCCGTCGTGGTGGTGGTGGTGGTGGTGGAGCCGCCTTGGATTCCGAATCCTTAACATTCCGACAGGAATTTGATGGTTGGGCCTGCAACTTTCCATTTTCGAGTTTCTGATTGTACTCGCCAACCGACTGAAAATTGAAAACGATTCTGAAATTCCTTCAATTTTTCAACCGAAAATAGAAAATTAATTTTCAAGGAAACGACTATGGCGTCTTCCTTCCTCACCTGGTCGTTGTTGCTAGCATTAGCGCACTTCGCTTCAGCGGCGGCTAGGTCACGGACGAGCAAATCGTTCTTCGATTGAAGTTCCAGGTTCAAGCTCTGAGACTTCTGCAACTCCTCCTTCAACGCCACTAACTGAGACTGCAAATCCTTAATCAAATCCTCTGTGAAACAAAGCTTCTTCTGCAATTCACTCTTGACTCCATTACAATCCTCAACATTCGAACAACGCCGCAGCGAATCTTGCTTGAGACCACCACGGTTGACCACTCGAGCCGAAACTCCAACATTCTCACCATCTCTCCCCTTCTTTGGAGCATTCGGCGTCAGAGATCTGCTAACTCTCGAACTTTGCTTCTTCACAACAGACTGCGGCGTCGATTGAACGGCCGATACAGAAACCATCCGCTTCGGCGACTCCATAGCCTTCGAAGAAACCCTTCCGCCGCGAGATGACATCGTAGAGTTCACAGAAGTCGATTTCCCTCTCTGTTCCATCAAAGCTAAGCGGAGGCGCCGTCGTACTGACTCAGATGTAAACCGATCAAGAAAGGCCAATTACCTGGCAGCCGCCGCCATGCACCGGGCAAAAAACCTCAAGAGGGAGAGAGATATAGCAACATACCTGAAAAGAGAACCACAACAAAGCACCAAACAAAACAAACCTCTACGCCAATGGCAAGCAAGCAAGCAAGAAAGAGAGGATTGATTAACAATGGCGATTAAGAGCAGTAGTCCGCCATTAACTTAACTTAGAATCTAAATTGAACCAACCCACCAATTGAGTATTCGTCTGTAAACTGGATTTGATCATAAGATCAAATGGTTTATCATGGGATTGTTGGACCACTTTCCAGTTCTTGGATGGATCAAACTTCCAAAGATGAAAACGGAAGGTCGCCGCTCAACATCATCTCAACTTTTGCCTTTTTCTCATTTGTGTTCGGTGGGAAGATTTTCCATTTCATAATTAAATATGAAAAGGAATTTCGGCGAATTTCTCCATTTTGATGCTAATTAGCTCTTGAATTTCGTGAAAAGTATTTGTTATAATTGACATTGTTTAATAATTAAGTGACTAAGCTAAAATTTTACATTAATTCATATCTTTTCTTTTAAGCTAAAGTTTTGACATTATAATATTAAATTATGTATTTATAGGTTTAATTACATCTCCTAATTATTTTTTAATAATCTCATTTAATGAAATTATTAGACAAAAAAAAATTATTAACAATCAAATACTAAATTTTTTTTAATTTTATATCTAATAAATTAAATACATTATTCTTAAATTTAAAACTAAAATTAACATTTAAAATGAGAATGATAAACACTTCTAAGCGAAATTAACGATAACGATATCACTAAGTAATGAAAAAGCTGGACAGGAAGGAAGGAAAGCCGAAACGAAGGATTCATGCTCAATCATTAGGACAATGACATTGATGAAATAGACCAGAAACTTACGAACAATTTAAAATTTTATTTTATTAATATTTTTATTCGAATAAATAAGGTTTTTAAGTTGTTTTTGGAGACAAATATTCTCTATTTTATTTCGAAAGATAGTTTTTTTTTTTTGCATTGTAATTTAAGTCTAACTCATCGATTAAGACATAATCATTGACTGAAACCAGGGTTGTTGTCCCTATCTCCCACCTCGATGTCGATACTTGTGAGATCCCGCATTGGTTGGAGAAGGGAACGGAAATTACTTATAAAGGTATGAAGACCTCTCCCTGGCAGAGGCATTTTAAAATCGTAAGGCTAATAACAATGCGTAACGGACTAGAACGAACAATGTTTGCTAGCGGTGAGTTTGGGCTGTTACAAATGATATTAGAGACAAACACTAGACGGTGTGCAGACAATGACACTAGCCCCAAGGATAGATTATGAGATCTCACATCAGTTAGAAATGGTAACAAAATATTCCTTAGAAGGGTGTGGAAATCTCTCTTTAATATAGCCGTTTTAAAGACGTGGGGTAAACGACATAAACTCATACATATCCATTTTATGAATTATTCTTATTATTATTATTGAATTATTATTATTATTAGGTAAAGATCTAATATTCGTACCTTATCTAAAGTAATAATAAAAATAAAAACAGATATCCACAAGCACATTGGTTTGTCTCTATTGTAAAATATGTATTTCCCAAGAGACACGTGTGTACGTCCAACCCACGGAGCAGCATCCACGCCCAACAAAAATCCACCTGTAAGTTCCATGTCCTCCACGTGGGCATCCCCTACACCCACCCAACAACCTCTGACATCCACGTGGCGTCCCTGTCACGCTCTGCCACGTGGACTCACCGTCCGCCGCTTCCCCATAGATAAAAGGACAGCACTGAATCCCCAATTTCTCCGGTACCTAATTTTCTTCACAGAGATTAAACACAATTTCACAATTAATCGTTCCAATGGCTTCAATACGAGTTCGCCGGCGCCGGATAATTCTCCCGGCGGTGGCGGTGGCAGTGGTGGTGCTGGTTTTTATGGTGAGTTTTGGCCGGAGCGGGAGCGTGGGACACATGCCGTCGACGGAGGAGGAGGGTCGAGATTACCAGGAAATGAAGAGAAAGATGGCGGCGAAAGAAGAAACGGAAAAAGACCGGTCGTCGGAGACTTGGACGGAATGGGCAAAAAAGAAGATCTCCGGTGGACTTGGACTGAGAAATGAACTCCGGGAAGACGGCGTTAACAAAATCGAGAATGTCGTCTCAGGTTCTGGTTTTTCCGGTGCCCAAAGTTTATTAAATTAATAAAAATACCTCTTAATATATTTTTAAAACTTTTAAATTTAAAAAATTAAAATATATATCTCTTAATATATATTTTTTAAAATTAAGTAATACCTGGATGGAATGGTTAATATTAATATCATGTTTCAAGATATAAATTTTATAAATATTTTTTTTATTAATTTAATGTATTGATTTTTATTGAAATTACTTTTTTTCATGATTAAATTATTGGAAAATCTCTTATAAATGAATTAAAAATTGATAAATAAAATTATTCTTAACAACAGAGGCGGGACAATATGGGGCTGAGAAGGGCAGAGAAGCGGAGGACATGGCGGCGGAGAAGGCAGCAGAAACGGCGGAGGAGATGAAGGCGAAGGGGAAGGCGGCGGAGGAGACGACGGAGAAAGGGTTTGTGGCGGGAAAGAAGAAGTCGGAGAGGATAAAAGACGACGTGGTTGGGTCGGAGGACGAGCTGTAATTGAGAAATTTATAATGTAATTTTCTAATTTTTATTTTTAAAATAAATAGTTAAAAATAAAACAAATTTGTTAAATATAAAATTAAAAATTAAGAAAGTTTTTAAAAGTTAATGACACATAAGATAGTATATTAAAGAGATCAAATTTGTTATTTAATTAATTTAAATTTTTTTTAAAAATATATTTTTATAGTATTATTATTTGATTAAAAAAAGATTAAAAATAGAACTCTATTTTTTTAACAAGTAAATACGTTTTTTTTAATATTACAATAATTTTACTAAAAAAGAAAATTAAAAACAATAAAATTCTATATATTTATCGAATTTTTTTAACAAATATTTACCTATTTTATGTTTCTATTGTTTTATTAAAAAATAAAAGTAAAGAGAAAAATAGAACTCTTAGTTATATTATATAGTTTTTTCGCATTCAGCCTCAAAGCTAAAACGACGTCGTGTAGTGTGAGGTCAATTTCGGCAGGTAAAATCTGGAGGCAGAAAAAGAAATAAACAAAAACGCATCGTTCAAAGAAGATTGGAGAAAATAAATAAAATTAGATTTAAACGTAAAAACTGAAGCGCGTGGAGTTGAAAGTACGTGGTTGACATTGAACGTGTTGTGAACGCGCTACTATCGAGCGTGGGGAAGGGTAGCTTTATAATTGAACGGTTCAATAATCTATGGCGCGAAGCCGAGTAAAAGTCAGAAGAGAAAAAAAAAAAAATAATAATTATTATAAAAATGATTTAAAAGAAGAGAGAGAGAGAGAGAGAGAGAGAGCCACAAATTTGGCTGATGGAAATTTAGCAGTGACGAAGAAGAAGAAGACGAAGAAGGAGAATGAGAGTTGGGAAGTATGAGTTGGGGAAAACTCTGGGAGAAGGAAATTTCGGCAAGGTAAAGTTGGCCGTCGATCTCCGTTCCGGCCGCCGTTATGCTGTCAAGATCCTTGACAAGACCAAGATTCTTCATCTCAACTTCTCCGATCAGGTTTGGTTTCATTTCCTTTCATCCTTTTATTTTAGTTCTTATTATTGTTATTCAGCGAATCGAACTGATGCAATCGGAATCGATTGCAGATTAAGCGTGAAATAAGTACTCTCAAGCTTCTCAGACATCCGAATGTTGTTAGACTCTATGAGGTTTGTGATCGAATGTGTGATTCGTGTGGATTCTATGAATGAACGGGAGATTTGAATGTTTTGTGTATATTCTACAGGTTTTAGCTAGTAAGACGAAGATTTATATGGTTATGGAGTGCGTCACTGGTGGGGAATTGTTTGATAGAATCGTAAGCGTTCTATCTGATGTTGATTTAATTTAGTTATTAGTTGAATTCTTGATCGATAGAGAGAATCGGAGATTTATGTGTGCTGTTTTAGGAATCAAAAGGTAAGTTGGATGAAGCTGAAGGACGACGACTCTTCCAGCAGCTTTTTGATGGTCTAAGCTACTGCCATGATAAAGGAGTTTACCACAGAGATCTCAAGGTATTTACCTGCTATTTCTGTCTCCTTGAATCAAATAATCACTCTTCATAGCGTTTTTATTTAATATTCCTTGTCGGTTGATGATCCATGTAGCTGGAAAACGTGCTTGTTGATGATAAGGGAAACATTAAGATTTCTGATTTTGGCCTCAGTGCTTTACCGCAGAATTGCAGGGTAATTTTATACATATCTACTTTCGAGATCATTTTCATGTAGATCTAGGCTACTTAATTAGCAGTTCAAGAACTAGAATTAATGGATAGTTCATGACATTAGGAAGATGGTTTGCTGCACACCACCTGTGGAAGTCCCAACTATGTTGCACCAGAAGTACTTGCTAATAGAGGATACAATGGAGCTGCCTCTGATATATGGTCATGTGGGGTTATCTTGTATGTGATTCTTACAGCTTGTCTTCCATTTGACGAGACGAATCTGGCTCTACTTTATAAAAAGGTACCTAAAGCTGATTGCGAAAGGGGAAAAAAAAAAACAAACAAAAGGAAGAATCTAAATATGTCTTCTATTTGTTTAGATCTCTGTCTGTATCTCTCTCTCTCCTCCCTTTAGAAAATATATTTATATGCATCAACATTCGTTGTAGACTTTGAGGGGGGATTTTCAGCTACCCAAATGGTTATCAGCAGGTGCCAGAAATTTGATAAAGAGAACTCTTGACCCCAATCCCAATACTCGGATTACAATGGCAGGAATTAAAAAGGATGAATGGTTCAAGATTGACTATAATCCTGCTTCTCCTTGTTATGATGATGATGAGGATGAGGATATTCCATTCACTGATCAGGACGATGCCATCTCGGCGCACGATGAGGTATACACAGAGAGATGAAGAGACAATCTATGTTTCTTTCTCCTTGTCTTCTCTCCACCTTTCCCTCTCTGTGTTGTGTTGTCTTAACTGATGGGATTTTGGATGTTACCTTGGTGTAGGCATTTGACGGTGAAAACAGCCCAGAATCTCCCTCTATTATCAACGCGTTTGAGTTAATTGGGATGTCTTCAAGTCTGGACCTGTCCGGCTTCTTTGAGCAAGAGGTGAGAGCTCAAGAGCAGAAGGACTATGGAATCCGTGGCTTGTTTGTTTGTTTATTTAGAACTTCCATTTTATTACTTATCCAAAGCTTATTCGATAATCATTTTGTTTTTATCTTCTAATTTTCGGTAAGCTTTTTACCTTTCTTACAAACATACTTGAATGAAAAACTATACCTGCAAGTACTATTTATAACTTTCGTCAAAATAGTTATCATAAAACCTTAATGTTGTAAGCTGAACAATCACAGGATGTTTCTGAGAGGAAGACCAGATTTACATCCAACCATTCTGCCAAGGACTTGCTCGAGAGGATCGAGATTATAGCAACGGATATGGGATTCCGGGTCCAAAAGAAAAGTGGAAAGGTTGGTACCCAGTTCTTAGAAATGAAAGAATTTGGTAGATGTCAATATCATTAATCACTGCATGAAAATGGATTGATTTGAGCTCTAAGCCATCGTAGTCAGCCATTTTAAATGACAAAGGCCCCTCTATTTGAAACCCTTTGCCATAAGTTACCCACTAACATGCAGTTTCTCTCTCTTTTATGCATCTTCAGTTGAAAGTAATGCAAGAGATAAGAAATCAAAGAAGCCTAAGCAATCTCTCATTCAAAGCAGAGGTAAACATTTCATTAAGCCTTGCATTTAAATTTTGATTGTTCCCATAACCAAACCTGCTTGGTCTCAGGTCTTTGAGATTAGCCCATTGCTTAACGTAGTGGAACTGAAGAAATCCTTTGGAGATTCCTCAGCTTACAGACAGGTACACAATTCATAGCAAGTAAGAAAAACTCGAGCTAAAGAATCAGCCTTCTTTACTTCCTAACATTCATTTCAATTCAAACCCTGCAGTTGTGTGAAAGGCTATCAAATGATTTGGGCACAAACCCCGAGCTCGAACGGCATAATTCGAGTTCATTCACGTTAAATAGTACATGTTAGAAGAAAGTGATACCCAGTTATAGGTCTTTGATTAGAATTATTGTTGTGTTTATAGTTTGGGTTGCTATCATTTGCCTTTGATTGGTGCATAAGTTGGTTTAAATGTAGATAGCAGATAGAGCCAAATATTACATGGCTGGAAGCGTCCCGTGTGTGTCCCCTTGTACGTAATTCGATATCAAATGTAAAAGAACTGAAGTTCATTTGTATGATAGAAGAATTCCATTGTTGTGGCATTCTGGCAATCAATCGAGAAGGAGAGGAGCCACTATTGACTTCACAAAGATGTTAATGATACGCCCGAAATAACTATCGATCTTACATAACATGCTATCAAATTAAAAATATTGATCGTCACTCGGTTTTTTTTCTTTTTCTTCCCATTTTGAATGATCTGTTTAGAAATTTATTATTTTTTTCACCACGTGCTTTCAATTATCTATCCGGAATTCCTTATTTTATATGGGTATTAAAGTTATTATTAAAGTTTGTCTTTTTAAATCTTTTAAATTTCATGTATGAGTTCGACAGAAATTAGAGTGCTCAAAGCAAGCCTACGCTCTGTATACATTAGCATGAGATAACTTTATAGGATTTCGATCCCCTATTCAGTGATAATCAATCTGTCAATCAATAAAAAAAAGAGTTTTTTTTTTTTATTCTTTCGTATGCGAAGCAGGCTTCCAAATTCATTATGCACCCAACACGAGACTAACAAGACTCAATGCTACCTGTGCATGAGGTAATCTATACAAGAACTGATGACTATGGTTGCTCAAAATACTTTGGGGGGTAGGGGTGTGCGAGTGGGGAAGTCGGGATGTACACACACAGGGGCGTGCGGGGTGAGATGAGTTCAACGAGAACAGAAATCTCGTTGAACTTTTAATTATTTTTATCTATCTAGTTCCTAAACTTTGAAAAGTAGCTACTTGATCTATAATTTTTAATTTTGTCTCGAGAAACTTTAAAAACGTTTAATAGGTCTCTAAATTTTAAATGATTTTTAAGTTCTTGAGTTTTCAAATTTTTTTTTTTTAATTTAATAGATTATTTACCTTAAATTTATAAGTTTAAAATCATATTAAATATAAAATTTAATTTTATAACTAATAATATTTTTTAAAAAATAAAACATGTGAGACTACTTTAACATTCTTTAAGATTTTAAATTATAAGAACTAAATTGAAAAATTATCCACAACCACTCTCGCACATAAAAAATATTTTCGAATTTTGCAGAAAATTGAAGAGAAAAAAAAAAAAAGAAAAGAAAAGAAAAGAAAAGAAGGCTAAGGGGCCAAGACGAGGGAAGCGCACTGCAGTCGTTCCGAAAGCTACATAACCAAAACGCTCGAAACATACACAACGGGAGAGTCGATCAACCATGAAATCTTCGGCCTCAGCTAACTCAAAATCTCCTTTCAAGTTCAGGATGTGAGTTCTTTTATCTCTTTCTACTTCATCATTGTTCGTTTCATTGATTCCTCTTTCTTATGGCTTTATATTTGGTTTTATGTTCCCAATCATTATCAAAGTCCGACGGCGGAGAATCTAGTGCCAATTCGCTTAGATATCGAAATCGATGGTCAGAGATTCAAAGATGCCTTCACTTGGAACCCTACTGGTAATTTCGTTTATTTATATCGCTCATGCCTGTTAATGTTTCCTTTTCAATCAATGATGTTTGATGTGTAGCGTAGTTTCAGCTCTGACCGTTCGAATTTAGGGTTTTTTTGTCCCTAAATTTATGATTTCTGCTTGGAAGACTGAATTAGTCCCTGTTTTACCGATGATATCGGCGTATTGTTGATTCTTTAATGAAAAACTTGCATACTTCATTTAGTTTTTATATACGAGTTTAATGTCTTCCATGAACTTTTAATTATGTACATAATAAATATGTTAAATCTAAAATATATTGAATAGGTCAAGAATTCAAAGTTCAAAGACTATTAGACACAAAATGGAAGTTTTGGGACATATTTTTAAATTTAGAGATCTATGTTAGACACAAGCTTGAACATTCAAGGGCTTGGCTTGTAATTTTAGCTAAAGTTTATACATGTATATAAAATAGTATTTATGAATAAGATATTTAATGTCCAACCTTAACCTTAGGATTAATAGAGGTAAGAGTTCCATCATTGATATTACTTGTTTTCTCATCATTCCTTTCTCTACAATGAGTTTTATGGTTCTTAAGAAAACATTTAAATTCTTCTGCAAACTCCAAAACGTACCAAAACTTTTGGCAATGTTGTTTAGGGAGGTAAAGGATTTTTTTGGATATGGCCTTATCGTACCATCCTTTCAAGAACGCAAAAGCCCTATTATGGAAAAACCTCATCATGGCTTTCTTTTGGAATTTGTGGAAAGAAAAAAATCAGAGAATATTTGCAGAAAAGACAGACTTACACAAAACTTTTCAACAATGTTGTTTACCAAGCTATATTTTGGTGTAAACGGTCTAATATTTTTACTTCCTATAGTTATACCTCCCTCATTGCAAATGGGGAAGGTCTTTTATAAACATCATGAATTATACATCCCTCTTGTAAGTTTCACTCATCAATGAAATTGTCTCTTGTCGAAAGAAGAAAAAAAAAGTTTTTGAAAACTACATTTTAGTTTTCAAAACTCAGCTAGGTTTTTTAAAACATAGGTAAAAAGTAGGTAACAAAACTAGAAAACCCATAGAGACTTAATTTTGGAAGACTAAAAACCAAAAACCAAATAGTTTTCGAACAGGATCTAAGTTATTTAGGTTTCAACACGGGAGCTTGAACCTAGGAATTCAGTGGTTATCTTGAAACATCCCAAAACAGTAGGCACTCTTTAAGGTTAACTTGAAAATGTGTTTTTTGCTCTTGTGATAGTATCTCCAATTGCATGATTATATCTTATGTGTACTCTAGATCCCGATTCAGAGGTGGTGGTCTTTGCAAAGAGGACGGTGAAGGATTTAAAGCTTCCCCCAGCATTTATAACACAAATTGCACAATCCATTCAAGTAAGAACAATGGTTATCCGATCCTTCCTCTCCCATTCTTCAGGATTTCAATTGTCAGCCTAAACCATGTTTTCTAGTAATTAAGAGCAATTTTTTTTAACTTACATGAATTTTTGTAATGAAATATTGACATGCCATCAAATTTAATTATGTTTACTCTTGGCTTTTGCTTATTAGTCACAACTTACAGAATTCAGATCCTTTGAAGGTCAAGATATGTATACTGGTGAAAAGATTATTACAATCAAGGTTTGTCTAATTGGCATTGCAATACCAATCTCTTGACAACCTCCTCTCTTTATCATTATCTTACAGCTAGATGCAAAATAATGCAATTCTTTTTCTTTTCCAGCTTGATCTTCGAGTAAACAATACGCTCATAAGGGATCAGTTTCTGTGGGTAAAGTTGAACATACTCTTGATACATTTGACTGGAACAAATATTTATTAAGCTTACTTGTGCAAACTGTTATGTCTTTTAGGACTTGAACAACTATGAGAGTGACCCTGAAGAGTTCTCCAGGACATTCTGCAAAGATTTGGGTATTGAAGACCCTGAAGTAGGAGTAAGCAAAAATCAATTGAATTTGAAAATATACAAAATAAATTTTTTTGTACATGTAAATTGGTTCCTTTGGTGATGAAAAGGCAGCATCTCACTTCGAAGGGATGGATTGTCAATGAGTTATTTTCACCTAAAGTCTCCTGTAATTGTTTTTTTTTTCCCCAACTATTGGATACCATGAGAATTTCATTTATTTTTGTGAGGTAGCCTGCAATTGCTGTTGCGATTCGAGAGCAGCTTTATGAGGTTTGTTTTTTCTTACCTGTTAAGCCTCCCTTTCATAAGGACAATACTTTTTACAGTTCTGTTCACAATCTGAATGCATTATTTCATCACTGCATCTTCATTGTGTCTATGTTCCAGATAGCCATGCAGAACGTTGCTTCAGCAAGAGAAAGCAGACTGAGCAAGAAGGGCCGCCGAGGGTTTGAGCATGTTTCAGCAAGGTATATTCATTCAAACTTGTGCGTTGTTCCTCATTCTCTTTTGTAATTGGGACTTGGAATGAAACTAAATTTTCACCTTTACTCATTTGTCTTTTGCAATTGTGCTTCGTTATCTGTTTGGTGCAACAGTAAAACTGGAGGTGCTTCGGTGGACTTGATGAAGTTATTTGGTCATCGATCAAGTGCTGTTCGGTGAGTATTATTTTATTAATTTTTTTGAGTAATTACTTTATTCCCTGTTACCATTTTCCTAATACATACGTTTTATTCTAATTTTTTAGGTTGTAGTTTGTGTTTATTATTAATGTTCTTTCTTTCTAAAATGCATATCTTAAACTTATCTATTCTCACGTTTTAATATAAAAAATATTCAAAATACAAAGTCACTTGATATGCACTCTTTCGAACAATCTATACAAGTTAATGCACTTGGAGCTTAGATCATTGTTCTTTTGGCTGTCTTGGTTTTTATACCATTTTCACTTGTCAGGGTTGGTGAATTTCGATTGGGAGTGATCTTTTCTTTTTTTTTCTAAATTAAAAATTAACTCATGCTATTAGTGTATTTCTAATATTCGTTGCAGCTAACATGTAAAATTATAAAAATTTGATGCTTATGGTAGTATGCACTAAAATGCAACAGGAAAAGAAAGGACTGGGACATCTACGAACCAATTGTCGATCTTCTATCCAACGAGGAAGTAGATGCCCTTGAAGCAAAAGAAGAGAGGGCTGCTCGATAATATATTATCGGTTGCAAGGAGTTGAGAATATCACTCGTATTGTCATCGAACAGTGTCGACTTTTCCAGTGGAGGTAAATTATTCAACTCAGATGAAGTTCGTAGGCAGTTGTTCTTGCTATCTTAACACATACTTAGCATTCTTTAACTTCCAAGTTAAAAGCTTTCGAAGCAATTCTTCATCGACTGTACGTAATCCCTTTCTAGCTCTCAAGTAGGGACATGAACTCTCTGATAAGTTCATATGGTAGATCTTTTGACAAGTTTTACCGTATTGGCATGGACTATATCTCACTAGAGAAGGGTAGACCTTCTGAAATGAGTTTTCATTCTATTTCTTGCCTGTGATTTCATAGTCAAAATCAGAACCATTCAAGAAGTGTTGAATGACTCATTAAGAAGGATTACACTGTTCCATTTAGCTGATAAGTGAAAAGTTCACTGATAGAACCATCTGGGCTTTTCCACAATGCTCCATTTTCCTCTTTGGAAGTTGGGATATGGGTCGTGGCAAGGCTTGGTGATAACATTCCATAGCAGGGTCCAAGAGAAACTCTCTTACTTTTGGATATGGCTGAAAATTTTATTATGAGACTCTCTAGGATGGATTCGGTTTCACCTCCACTTCATGTGTTGCAAACTAGTTCGATAGAGGACTATTTAGAGATTTAGTTCGATAGAGGACTATTTAGAGATTTGGAGGTCAATGTGAGCCCGGTTGAAGTTGAGTATGAGGTTGTCGTTAAGGTCAATTGAGTTTGGCAAACTCTTTTAAGAGTTTATTTGTTTCGAAGTTTATAAGTTTAATCGTTGGAAGTCCAAAAAAGTTACAAGTTTAAAAGATGTTATAAATGAATGAAGCTCGTTCTGTCTATATTGAGATTTTTCTTGAGAATCTGAGCATAAACCTTTGTCGTTTATAAGTTTTCTTGCAGTTCTTATGATAAATTGCATCTGATCTATTCAATCCAGGTTTGGTCAAGTTAGATCATAGAATACTTTATCCTCAATCCGATAAGACCTAAAACAAATCATGGGGTATTTCCAACTCAATGTTTGATTGGAGGATGAAATTGAAAGGATAATATTGTAGAAATGGAGGTTTTTGGATAATCCCTTCACGAGAAGCCCATCCATATCCCTATCTTTCTTCCTCACAAATCTATGAAAATGACAGAAAAATAAAAATAAAATCTGTACGGAATGATTGAGACTTTAGTATTGATGTGGCAGTTGGAATTAGTGGCTCAAATTTGAGATGTTTAGATATCTGCAACCATTCGTGGCATCGATCCCGTAGATATTCTATTTACGAGGAGGGATTCAAACCTCTGAGCTCAACTTCGAATACCACACTGCAAAATAAGAGCTCGTGTGGAACTTTTTCTTTCTGATATACTAAAACGTAACACAATTTTACAACCCATGTAATAGAAGGGTTGGAGGTACGGCTAAACAATTTAAACTACACTTTCGTTCTCAATAATTGAATGGTTAGTTCCAATTTAATTTCTATGATATTTTAAAACGAAATAATTATCACATCTATTCACGAGATGAATGAGTTATTACAAAATGGATCAAAATGAGTTATTCATTCACGTGGTAGATGAGTTTTATGAATTGACGTTTTTGTTCTATTCTATTTGAAATTATTGGTAACAAAATTGGTATCTAATTTAAAAAATTATCTCTCTAAATCAAAATACCGAGAAAGATGAGGTTCCATTTCCCACGAGGAAAGAGATTTCATTTTTACATTAACTAAGAGTAATAAGTCTCACCATGATTAAGAGCTTCTTCAAATCATGGGGATTCATTCCTTCCCTATAAACAAAACGAAATCATAACTGATTGAGAAATAGAGAAAAAGAGTTATCTACAATCTTTTGGCCACGGCCGAGACAACGGCGACCACCACGACGATGATTAAGAAGACACATTATAGACGGTGGAGGTGGTGGCGGCGGCGGCGGTAGTAGTAGAGTTAGTCTTGTCTAAAATAGACCACATAACTTGCACGTCTTCATACCCACATGCCATCACCTCTCCTTGCAGGTCTCTCACGTCTACTCGCTTCTCTTGCTCTACAAAAGAAACTTAAAATAAGACCGTTTTCTTTGTTTTTTGCTCCGTCGTTGAAAATTCAAAAGAAAACCCGAGAGCTCACCTGAGTCGGAGTCGGAGTGGGACTTCTTCGAGTCTCTCGGGTGTTGGTTGAAGATTGTGCAAGCCTTTCTAATAGGAGAAGTTATGGTTTTCTTCCAAGAAGCCATTACCAACGAGAACGATGATGCACGTAGACAAGAGTATATATATATATAAAATAAAGTCTTAGAGAGAGAAGGCAAGATCCGTTTTTTCTTATCTAAAAATCAAAATTATTATTATTACAATATTAATAATATTTAAAAAGTATAAAAATAAATAAATAAATATATTATAAAGTGTATTTTCATACTGCAAAAAGCACATGGATCACCGTCCTCTCCGACCTTACACGTGAAACCCTTCACTTCTAACTTTCAAAACACTTTTATTTTTATTAAAAAAATCATTTTAATTGTATTTTCCCCTTGCTTTCAATTATAAATTCTTTTGGACCGATCCAAAATTTTGGATTGATCGGGTCAGTAACTCTAGCAACCCGAATAGAGTTCACAGCTCAACCCAATCCTCTTATTTATCCACCGTACACGTCACATTAATAACTACAATTTCATAAATTTTAAATATCAAACATTTACAAGTCATAGCTTATCACGTTTATTACAAATGTTAAATATTCTTAATCTTTTTAGGAAGAGGGTAGGGTAGGGTTGGGTTATAACCCTATTTTCGAGTTGTCGGGTTTACCCAACAAACAAATGTAAACCTACAAATTGACCTGAATTTTCGATTTTTCAAAAAATTCAACTCAACCTAAATCGGACAAAAAAAAAAAATCTAACCCAACCCAACTCAAAAGGAGGGGACGAGGGACTAGAGCATCAAGCCATCGAGCCTTTTTTGTGCTGGTTTCCTCGTAGAAGCCATCGGGTTGACCTTACCTAAAATTGTAATTGCGCGTTGTTAATCTACGTTTGAAATAATATTTTATGGCTCGCATTCATAATCATTCATTTCGGGCATAATTAATAAATTATTATACAAGTACCAATAATTAATTAATTTGCACAATTATACATTAATTAAAATATTAGTCAATGATTGGTTAATGGTTACCTGTAATTAAACAACTAATGAGTCAGTGTTATGGTTCCCAAGTTTACAAATTGTTAAGGAATTAACTAATAATTAAACCTCTAATTATTGCTTAACTTGATGTTAAGAGCTTTCCCAAAAAACGGGAACATAATCCAAACACATTTCAAAGAACGAGTGATTGTTAAATTTTACGGAATGAATTACGACCTAACTATATGACCTAATTACGGAAGGAGATGTGTATGAATTTTAGCTTGGACATGCTCGGTGAACACCTATGTGCGCTATGACACCTATCAACCATGCCTAAGCTCGACCAGACAATTGATCCAAGTGTATGGACATCATTAAAGTGTAACGTGCTGACCACACTAGGTGTGGATTGTAAAAAAATGGCAGGGATGCGTGTCAATTATTACTTTGTAAAAGACAACAATTCTCTGTAAAAAATATGCGTTACTGTACTCGACACCAACTTGTATTAGTTCTAGCTTACGTTCAGAGTGTACAGGACTGAAAATCAATCGATGCGAGATTCTACTTACACCTTATTGATTGAAAATAAAAACGACAGATATACTGTAAGATCCCACGTTGGTTGGAGAGGAAAACAAAACATTTCTTATAACGGTGTGGAAACCTCTCTTTAGTAGACACGTTTTAAAATCATGAAACTGATAGCGACACGTAACGGACTAAAATGGACAATGTCTGTTAGCGATGAGCTTGAGTTGTTATATAAACGGACCAACGGACCATCGAACAATGAATCGGTAGCTTAATAATACACGTACCCCACCACCCACTTGAGCGAATGAGCTTAAAAGAAGTACAAAATAAGTATACGGAATATTTTGGATGAAGTTGAGAGGACATTGGCATTTGACACCAATAATATCAATTCAATCTGCCTTTCAATGGCCACGCTTGTGTTCAAATCATGTTGTCTTTTTAGTACTCTTTCTCTCTCCTTTAGGTGGCATTTCGAATCTCATCTTTATACCTTTTTTTCTTTCGGATCGACTCACTCAATTATTCTCTATACACTGTTCTTTGTTCGAAAAAAAACTCGTCACCGTAAATTGGATGAGATTACCTTTCGTTAGGTTATTATTAATACTCTTCATGCGTACAGATGACTCGAGATTTCATTAGGTTTAACTTTCGAGCATTCATTTACCTTTCCTTTGGGGTCGAGAGCTACCATCCTTAGATGTACCACATTAATAACAACTGTAACGGCCCAAGCCCATCACCGGTAGATATTGTCCTCTTTGTACTTCCACTTTCGGGTTTCCCCTCAAGATTTTTAAAATGCGTCGGCTAGTAAGAGGTTTTCACATCATTATAAGAAATATTTCGTTCTCCTCCCCAACCAATGTGAGATCTCACAATCCACCCTCTTCAGGGCTCAGCGTCCTCGTTAGCACTCATTTCTCTCTCCAATCAATGTGAGATCTCACAACGATATTCTAACCTAATACGGGTCTCAACCTCCCAGAACTGCCCGTTTTTCAGATGGGTATAGGAACGATCAAAGTTTTTACTAATCAAATTTCAAACTCGACATGGAACGAAAAAACTTACTACCCAAACTAAACTTTCGGGAAAAGAAAAGCAAGTATATTTGCACAAGGTAAGCAAATCAAAACCCACAAGAAGAATCAAATCCAAAATTTCTCAAAGAAGTAGAAGTAGACATAGATATGATGTTGATCTATTGAGATCAACATGAACACAAATCAATATCAAAGTAGGGGCAAGCAAGCTATTCCAAGGTAGGGTTAGGTATTAGGCAAGCATGCACTAAATTTAAAGCCCTCATTTTTATATGTTCTAATCTCTCTTTAGGGGTCGAGACCTGCCGACCCTACAGGTACCACATTAACGACAACTGCAATAGCCTAAGCCCATTGCTAGCAGATATTATTTTCTTCGGGCTTCCCCTGAAGGTTTCTAAAACGCGTTTGCTAGAAAGAGGTTTCCACACCTTTCTAAAAAATGTTTCGTTCTCCTACCAACGAATATGGGATCTCACAATTCACTCCCTTCAGGGCCCAGTGTCTTCGTTGGCACTCGTTCTCCAAAAAGTTCCCTTATAATTCATTTACCTCTCTTTAGGGTCGAGAGCTGTCAACCCTAGAGGTACCACATTAATAATAACTGCAATAGCTCAAACCCATCGCTAGCAAATATTATTCTCTTTGGGCTTTCCCTTTCGGGCTTCTCCTGAACGTTTTTAAAACGTGTTTGCTAGAAAGAGGTTTCCACGCCCTTCCAAAAAAAAATTCGTTCTCCTCCCCAACGAATACGGGATCTCACAATCCACCCCCTTCAGGGCTCAGCGTCTTTGCTAGCACTCGTTCCCCGAAAAGTTCCCTTATAATTCAAACCGTTCAATTCATCTCCTTGTTTGTAGCTCCCTAAAATCAAAGTTCCTTCACTTTTAGGTTGGCATTTGTTTCATATTGACTGCATCATTATCACTTACAAAAAGCATATAAAACATAATATATTTGATATCTTTGCATTAAAAGTTGAGATTTTGTTATAAAATTAGGAAATGGGTTTGTCTTGTTGAGCACTAAACCTAGCTACCTAATATCCTTTTGGGTTAGCCATTAAGGCTTTGAGCTGTATGCCATCAGCATCTCTTGCTACCATTTTTATCACTGACATGATCTTTGGCTTCTTATTCTACATTGCTGGGTTTTTGTTGATTTAGAAATGGACTTTGTTGGTAAACAAGTATCATTTCATTTTATCTCTCTGCTTCACTTGTTTCGTTCACCTCTTTTTCGTGTACAATATACTCGATATGTTAAAAAATCGAGGTTGCGTTTCGTGAGTTCGATTATTTCGAGATATGGGTCGACTCGATTAACCTAATTCTAATCGGTTCTAAGTAAACGTGTTAAGTTTTCCAAAAACTATGAGTAACTGACGAGTAATTTTGAACTAGAAACAAACTCGAGTATACACGAGAGACCCATGTTGGGAAGTAAGAAAAGGAGAAGGTATGAGCAGGTTCCTGACTCGTGGCATCTTCGAATTACTCGATTTGGTTTTTTCTTAACCTAATTCATAAAGAAAATGGGAAAATCCGACGTTCTTCCCTATTTTACAATCTAATGAAGATCAGTGTATTTTTTTTTATCTAAATTAAGCATCAGAGCTGGTGTAACAAGTGTCACATCAGTGTGTAGTATTTCACTTTACAAGCACGTTTTTTCTTCAAACTAAGGTAAATACTGTAAATTTTCTTATCTAACTTAATATCAGAGCTGGTGTGGTAAGTGTCACATCAGTGTACTGCAGTATTTCACTTTACAAGCACGGTTTTTCCTCAAAAGCAAGGTAAATACAGTAAAATTTATCTAAGTTTAAGATTCAACAGAGAGAAAAGTAAAAATTTAGGATAAAAATCGACTGTTATATACGGTTGTTATGAATCGTACTTTCGATTTGTACCATATAATTTATTTTTTTGGGTTTGAAGTACAAAACTACCAACATACACTAGGTATTATATATGCTTTCTTAACAAAAGTACATGATTGTCAATTCTCAAAAAAGGGGAAGCATAGAATAAAGCTATGTGTCATTCCTATCCGCTCACCTACGCACACTTTTAACTCAAAGCTACCTCACGATAATCGAGCTCACTTTAGTATCTCGTACTCACATGACCTGATATTACTGTGATGGTGCAACCAAGGTAATATCAGGTCATGTGAGTATAGCATGATATGAAGAAAACGAAGCATTCTTTGTAAGAGTGAAAAACTTTTTCTAGTAGACGCGTTTTAAAATTTTGAAGTTGACGACATTACGTAACGGGCTAAAACGGACAATGTCTACTAGCAACGACTGACTTGAACGGTTATATGAGAAGGGATGAAATCAAATAATAGATAGCGATTGATGTTGATTAGGGTAGGGAAATTGAAGCACTAAAAAGCTTTTTCATATTCTTCGTACTCTCATTTCATTTTGTGGATCAAACGATCACGAGACTTCGAGATCATTTTCGCTGTTCTTTCATGCTCTAGGTTCTCTCATAATCACACCCACTTGTCTCGATTCAAAAGTTGTC